ACAACAGCAACCTGTGACAGTTTCCTGCTGGCTTTCCCTGAGCATTGCATATGGAAACCTGTCACCATTTCTGCCATGATCTGGGGACACCAGGGGCTTCTGGGGAGCAGATTGCTGGCTCTTGTGATCAGAACCCAGATACACCTTGCTGTTGCTTACCGGGCACCCTTTATTTTGCACTTCCTGGCTGAGGATGCTCAGTGGCAGGGACGCTCCCAGGCCAGTATGGCAGGGGCTGGCACTGTTTTGTTGAGCAGCACCAGGGCTGTCCACTGCCCTGGCAGCAGTGTGATTGCACCAGGGCTACAGCACTGTTGGGTTGGCATTTTTTGAAGAAGCTGGGATCTCCGAGGCTGTCAGTGCATCACTGAATGTCCTGCAGCTTCGTGCCCACAGGTCTGACAGCAGTGCCTCTGCACTGATGTCAGTGGAACTTCTCCAGCTTTACAGAAATGCAAAGGAGGGTCCAGTCAAACTTACTGTGTTCAAAGAGTTTAGGTTAGATCTACCTGGCCAGGTCAGGTGAAAGCTGAGGTGGATTAGGAAAAAAATCTGCCCTCTCACAAACCAGTCTGTGCTGTGGTGAAGGACAGATGGGCCCAGACATTCCCAGCATCTCCCAGAAGAACCAAACTGAGAGACTGAGAGAGATTGGCTTGGCTTGTGCCTGGAAGACATCCATATTTCCCTCTACAGATGGCAGGAGACACTACTGGGATCAAGGATAAATGCAACATCTTGATTTTTTAACCCAGAAATAACTTCTGGGGCAATCCGTGGTACCTTAGACCCTCCCTGAGCAGGTCTGACACACCAAATCCCCCCACCCAACCCCTGCCAATGGCAGATGCAGCCATTTAGCTCCTTTTGGTTCCAGGTGTCATTGAATGTGATCTCCATTTTTTTTCTGTGTGATAGTACTGTGTTGGGTTTTTTTTTTTTTAGACTGAAATTTCCAGTAAAACTACAGTTAGCACAAACCAGACCTGTGTTTGTTTTTTCAAAGCAAATCTAATTACTCTTTTTAATACAACTGCCTTTTGTTCAAGAGACTGGATTGAGATGCAAAATACAAGTTGCAAGCAGATGCTAATCATTTTGCATGTAAATTGCTATTTTTTTTTTGCAAATATTTCATACAAGTTTTTAATTTAACGATTTAAAAAAGAACTGCTTTTCCAAGCCACTTGCAGTAATATCTGTAGACACTTAACAAAATACCTCAGGCTCTAAATCTCCAAATGGTAAACAAATAAATGTATTTATTTAGTTTGTATGCAAAAATAATTCAGTCAAAGACATATTTCAAATTGAAATAAATTGAGAGAATATTTTTTACTACAAATCACAAGCATACTCTTTAATGAGAAGACCTGATGGGCTTTCTAAATGAACTGAGTTCATGACAGTCCTGACAGGGGAACTCTGTGGGCTTTGTGCAGAAAATAGAGTCACTGTTTATTTCTCTGTTTAAAGACTGAAGATGTCTGCTAATTAAAAGATAGAAGCCATCTGTCCTCTCATGTCTTATACCTGGTCATGCTTTTTCAATCAAGGAGAGAGTTGGAAAAATAATTGAGTGGGAGTCGTTATAACCCTGCTTTTGAAGGTCCCTGCAGCAAGTGAGGAAGTGAAGAGGTGCTCATGACCCCAGGGCTTTACCATAGCATTCCCTCTGGGGCAGGGTGTCCTTATGTCCTGTCAGAAGCATGTGGGGGGCACAGACTGTTGATATCTTTGTTGTGTTCCCCCACTCTTTATCTGAGATGAAGAGAAAGTATTGGACTCCAGGTCTGCCCATCTAGCACATTTCATCAGCAGTGAATTTATCTTATAGACAAATCCAAACAAATAAAAAAATACCCTAACTTGTGCATGACGCAGAGGTCTGGTAAATAGATCAGCGATTTTTTAAAAATACCTTTTGTGACCCCAGATTTCTGTCTGTGCAGCAGTACAAACTGCTACAAACTGCTTTGTTATTGTGCAGCCTGTTGTACTCACCTGCAGTTCTGTCTTTCTTCCCACTCATCTCAGCCTAAGACAACTGAAACAGTAGTTCCCACCTGATTCAGCATAATTGCACAATTAATTTTGACAGTGACGCTTGCAGAGAGGTTCTGCCATTAATATCCCAAAAGCCTTTTGTTTCTGGTAGCCCCAAAGCTGACAGCAAAAGGTGTGATGAAACTAAATGATGCAGTGGAGCTGAAGGATGGCCATGGGGCACCAAAAAGATAGCAGTGAAGGAAAACATAAGGGTTTGCATGTTAATGAGATTTAGAGGGCACTAAAAATCCTCAGGAAGTTCTTGGAAGAGTGGCCTGGATCCTGCTTCTCTGCCCTGTCTCCTCTCCAGTCATCTGGTTCTTTTTTCATCCTCTTGCTCTTTGTGTCAAGTCTGTGGTAGTGCCCACAGAGGTTTTGCTGCTCAGACCTGTGAGGAGCCTCAGTGTGAAGGCAGGATGAGCAGAGCAGTGTCCCATGAGTGTCTGTCTCCATGTGGCACAGTTGTTGCAGGTGAGATGATGTATGTAAGAAGGGTAATAGTAGATAAAACCAGTATTATTTAACTGGAACTTAGTTGTCAAGTCTGTGGATTTTCTAGGCTGCTGGATGGACACACCTGGGGTGTTTCATACTAGTGTTGCCATGGTTCAAATCCTGAAGTGCTGTTTCCACTGAATTATGGGAGATGAGGAATCAACCAGCCAACTCACAAAACAAATGGGATGCTTCTGTTTGCTTGTGGGGGAGCATAAACATTTAAAGGAAATTAATAGATTTTTCTTTATTTTCTTAAAGTCTTCATTACTTTGATGTTTTTACATGCATTTGCTTTAAAATAATATAAAAACTTTGTAAGTTAATTGGTACAAGTGGGTATACAATACAGCATCTGCTTTTATGAACTACTCCTGCATGTCATAAAATATTACACTGCAGTAATTTTAAAGTAGATATTGAGCTAAAAATTTAACTTGCAATAACTTCTAATTAAAATATTTGTTTTACTTTGCGAAACTACGTTTTCAAAATGCATTAGCTTTTATATTTCTTCTTCATTGAAAATAGTCTTAGTTCCATGTTTAAGTCAAGTTGGAAGCTATCTTTCACAGCCTGCCAACTTTTTAGTCCCCCTAGAGAGAATTTTCGTGATCAGCTTTTGCTGATGGGGTAATGGAGGCTTGGGAATGGGGATTGAGTTGTCCAGTTTGGTTTGGGAGCTGCTGCCTGGCTGGGCCTGGTGCCAGGGAGTGCCCCCGAGGCAGCAGTTCAGAGGCAGCTCCTGCAAACCCAGCTCCCAGGTGAGCTGTGCCTTCCCAGGCAAGGCAAAGCCTGGAGATAAAGGGCAGATTAAGGAACGCTTAAACACTGTTCTTTTGGGAAGCTACTTCAAACACCATTTTATAGTGCTGTAAGTCATCTAGATCTCTCTTAACTTGTTTCACTCTCTTTTAAAAATACTTATTTCTCTGGCACAAAGGACTCCCTCAGATAAGGCAAAATGGCCTGTTTTACTGATGGTGTTTTTACCTGTGTGGTGCTAATGATTGATGAAAAATTCACATGTGCAGCACAGCTCTGCGCTTTCTGCTGTGCTTCATCTTCTGTAGCTTCAAGCCTGCCAGTCTCTGCGGGTCTGTTGCACACTGGATTTATTGTCACACCAGCAACACTTTATATAACCCCCAGATCGCTTGGGAACACGTTCCTGAGTGTTGCTGAATGTTCAGAATGTTTGCTCTTGAACAAGGTCTGCAGTAAACACGTGGCATTACTCCAGATGCTTTGCTCAATGTTGGTCATGGGTTTTGCATTGGCAAGGCTGGAGAAGCTCCCAAAGACTTGGGAGTGGCTAAGGTTTGGGAGGGAGCATCAGTTGCCTTTAGAAGCATCTGTCTTTACTCACAGGCCTCAGAAATCCCTTGTCTGGGATCTGTAAGAAGGGATTTTTTTGCAGAAACTGTTTTGCTTCAGAAAAGCAATTTTCATTGTGGCTTGAACTTTTTTTGCAAGAATAGTTTCTAGAAAATTAGTGAGAGAATTTGTTCAGCCAGGATAGGTTTTCTGCTCAATCTCAAAGCCTGGGAACAAAACCCCACACACTAACAACCACATATGACCCACTGAAGGTTGGGGAGCCCACTGTTACAGAATCCCCTGGCCAGACAGATCTTTTAAAAGAGGTTTAATGTTTCTCTGTTCTGAAAATCTTGAATACTGGGACATAACAAGTACTAGTCCATAGCTGAGTGTAGTTTTGTCCTGGAGACTTCATGCAAAGCCAGATCAAGTGGCAATGGCACAGCCACTCCCACAGCCATCACAGGCTTAGAGGATGTCCTGGACAGATCCATATGCGCTTTGCTCCAAGGCAGGTATGGAAATGCTCCTCAGTACCTGCAGAAATACTTATGCCAGAAATCTTGAAAATTACTTCTTTCTTTTTATTGAAAGATTTCTAGGCTTTGTGCCAGCATTTCCTCACATCGCTTTTGAAATTAAATGGTTTACTTGCTTTTGTACTCTCATTTCTTTGAATCCTCATAAATGGTTCAATAAACTGCCTTTTGCCTCTAAGAATTGAAGAAACCTCAATATCTTAGACAACAATCATGGTACATTTGCCCATCACAGGGAATGTATGAGCAAAGCCAGGGGAAGGCATCAGGAACAGCAAGGGTGTCTCTGCTTCTCAACTCTCTTTTTCTTTCTTTTGCTTAGTATTAAAGTCTAAATCCTGGCAAATGTCTGGCTTTTCCTGCACATTTCTCATGCCTGCTCACTGTAGGCTGTTTTGCAAGCCCCAGCTCTGCCAGGGAAGGACAGCCTTGCCTTTCAGCCGGGAGTTGTCTAGATGGGTGTTACTGCTGGGAGCTGGCATTGCTGATGCCTGTTGTTTTCTGTTGCTAACTGCAATGCGTGGTGCCTAATTTAGAAGATCAGTGATTATTAATTATTCCATTGCTTTTTCTTCTCTCTCTCTCTTACTGCAGGATGTTTTCACACCAGAGTGCAAATTTAAAGAATCTGTCTTTGAAAACTACTATGTTATTTATTCTTCCACGCTGTACCGGCAGCAAGAATCCGGACGAGCGTGGTTCCTGGGACTCAATAAAGAAGGTCAAATTATGAAGGGAAACCGAGTGAAAAAAACCAAACCCTCATCACATTTTGTACCCAAACCCATTGAAGGTATGGAATCTGCCCACTTTCTCCCTCAGTGGGGTTTGGACAGGGGGAGGTAACAACTTCAGAGTTGGAGTTTCCTGGGTGGGGGTGTTGGGCTTCGAGACCAGAAAGCAAGAAGAAATGTTTGGAGCACTTCAGATAAGTGATGGGCTGCACTGTTAGCATTTCCTCTTGCTTTTCTTCTAGTCTCAAAGGGGTTTCTTAGCTTTGGGAGGCTAAAGGATGAATCTAAAAGTCCAGCAACACAAGAAATTACTGGTAAAGAAAAGCAGCCAGTTCAAAAGGAATGTGATGCAGCAGTGATCATAATGTTGTCTTCTCAGAGGATTTTGCCAGCGTATTTCAGTAATTTCCAGTCCCATATAGAGTCAGCAGAGACAGGATTTATCTCACCTGATTTTAGACTTTGTCACTCTGTTCATAGTACAGAAGAAAATGGGTCGTACCAGCACAGCTGTGGATGTTCTTTATATTTCTACCCTGAGATTAAATCTGTTTTTTCTCATATGTAAAGATATCCTAGTTAGTCACTGGGGGGTAGAGTTGTTGTCCAAAGTTAGATGGGATACTGTCATGCCATATGTCTTCATCACAGTGTGAGGCTTCAGGAAAGTCATGGAGTTGAAGTTCTGCCCTCCTGCTGATGCCTGTACACTCTGCAGTGTGCCTCACACTCCTGCCAGGACATTTTGCTTTTTGTGGACTGACCCTGATAAATGGAGAGATAGTGTGATAAGCCTAGTACTTACCAGGTACCAACTTGATTCTGGAAACAGCACTTCTTATCTCTTACTTAGGAAAGGCACTACTTTTCGATCCCCAAACTAGGTATGCCTTTCTGACCCCATCTTTATCCTGCCATTTGTCCCCTTCAGGGGCACAGTAGCCTGGAGCTGGCCTTGGCTGCACAGCTCTGTGTTCCCTCTCACTACTCCATGCTGGCTGTGGGAGAAGGCTTGAACTGATGCTCCCCCAACAGATACCACTCACAAGTGCTGGAGGCCACAGCTCACTCCACACAGCAGTGGCCTTTTTAAAAGCTTCTCAGCTCATGGGTGGAAGTTGTGAGTGTAAGGAAAAGGCCATCTGAAGCAAAGCATTAGAGAAATTCAGTGCAGCATTCCTGGAGTATCTGTGGGCTTTGCACAGGAAATGGAAATGTTGAAAGAGCAAAGAATGGCCTGGAGCTGCTTGTCCTGTGATTGTTTTCAACAGCTTCTCTGCAGCCAGGAGCCCTTTGCTGTTTATCTGAGGCATTAGTAGGATTGGTACCCTAAGCCCTTGGGTGTTGCTAAGGAACAGGGCCTGCTTCAGGCATGGGGTCGGTCACCATCTTCTCTCTTGCCCTGACCGGAGGAGAGTCTTTCACAAGCACCAGCTTTCACAGCTGGGCTTCCACCTCCTTCTGGTATTTCTTCACAGCCTGGCTGGGCATTGGCACTGATCAGTGGGATCCTTTGAATCCAGGCTTCTTTTTTAATCTAGCATGCATGGTGTCTGCTGAACAGCTCAATAGTTTCCTTCTGCATTCATTAAACTAGGCCATTCCTGTGGCTCTCCTCGTGGAAAGCCTTGCCTTAACAGAGCTACCTAACCCCCAGCAGAGATCTCATTTCAGCAAATGCCACTCTGGCTTTCATTTTGAGTAACCCAGCCCAGCCTGAGAGCTTCCCTTTCCCGCAGTTGCATCCTCCCACACTTGCCTCAATCACAGCTGTCACATAACCTCCCGAGCAGTGAGCTTTGGAAGTTGGCAGCCAAATTAAGGGCTCCTCCACTCCTTCCCTCCTCCACATGCTTTGCAGTCAGGCTTTGTGAGCGCTGCTGCATCAAAGAGCTGGCAGTCTCCCAAGCCAAGGCACGTGTCAGCTTCCCAAAGCATTCAGCTGTCTGGGACTGTGCCTCCAGACGAGGACTCTGTTCCCAAGCCTGAGATTCATTGTAGGTAGCAGAGGCTGGTGGGGAGGGTTGGAGTAAAGCGGGCTCATCTCCACGTGACTTCTGTGCAGCACATCCATCAAAGTCCCCGTGAGCAGAGCTTGCAGAGATGTTACAGAAAAGGGGCAATTCCTACCCTGTTTTAACAGCTTTCTTCTCTTTGTTATGACTCCAAGGAAATACTCAAAGCACTCTCCTGCTGTATTTGTATGTCAGTTCTGCAGAATGCTGTGGCTTGCCCCAGTGTGTGGGCTTTGCTGCTTATTCAGGGCACAGCTTCCATCCACAGGAACTTTGCAACTTCCATCCACAGTCACATCCCCAGGTTTTCTGTTTCTGGATACCAACACCAGCATTAGCCCTGTCCCGTGATGGCTGACACAGGAGTGTGAGTGAGGAGGAATCTGCTCCCCCTGGGAAGGAGAAGTGCTACATCCATTGCTAGGAATCACTTCACCTACCATTCAATAGCAGTTATATCTGAGATGAAACTTGCTTGTTGTTTCTGATATACAGAAACATTATGCAGCAGTTTAGTGAAGAAAGGGTTCACGGGGAAGAGAAACAGAAAAAAGCCCAGATTGCTCCCTAAGCTCATTTGATTCCCATTGCTTCATCCTGCTCCCTGAGTTCAGAAGTCTCCTTGAAATTGCAAATAGACAGTAAACTTATACATAAATAAGCAATATCCTCACAGATAATTTCTAAATACTCATGGGAGCACATATGCATATATACACAGTGGTATCTGTGTATGGATGTGTGTTATCCATGGCTTTTAGCAGCTATGGCTTTCTGCTGTGCTAAACACTCAGAGTGTTTTGACTCATGTAGATTGGCAGGATCCTGGAGGTAATTTGTACAATATTCAGTAGATACCAACTGGAAAAGTTTTGGGTTTTGGTCGGTAGTTTTTTTTTAGTTTAGTGTAGGTAGGATTTGTTTGTTTTTGGAAATAAGATAAAGCTTAATCAATATGAAAGCACAAAAAACTTACTAAGTAATAACAGGGGAGACGTTAAGTTCTTCTCCCATCTGTGCACAGGCAAAGCCAAGGCAAACAGCCTGGTAGGCAGCAGTTGATGTACTGTGTGCTGCCAGTTTTGCTTCAAAACACACATACGCAACACATTTCTTTTGATATTTTTATTTCTGATCACTGATTATTCAAGCTAAATGAACCCTAAAGGGAAGACATCAAGATTGAGCTAGACTGCACAAGAAATGAGCTTGAGTATAATTGTCATTTGAACAACAAGCAATCTTTGAGAGAAATTTCAGTCTCTTTAAGTGTCTGTAATAATTAGTGCAGAACAATCCTACCATCCACAGTGCCTTTTGTTCTTCTAAATATCCAAATCCCTCTCAATGTGAGAAATTTCCAGTCATTTAAGTAGGAATATTATCAGATGCTTACTGTGGATGTGTTCTGTTACTTATATTTCCTTCTTCTTGAAGACATAATTTCCAAATGTAACTCTCCCAAAGAAAGAGTTAATTTCCTGTCTCTCCTGGCACAAACTAAAAAATATTTAGGGTGGCAAATCTGGCCACAGAAGCAGAAAACTTCCTCCAAGTCAGCAGAGCAGTCCCTAACTCTGAATTTATGGCACTTCAGCCCTCATGATGTGAACATGTCTCAGATACAAAGGTGACCTGTTAATGGCTAGTCTGCATCCATTTATTACCACTGATGAGTATCCAAGCAGACAGATCTTTCCCAGTGTCATTCCTCAGGGAAATAACATCCAAGTTTTGTTAGGGCAGAGTCCTCAGATGTTGTAGAGAAGTACAAGACTGTTGACTAGGAAAATGCAGTAGACCTCATGAAAATGCTTCAAAGGTATCACCTTAATACATAAAACATAGAGTCATAGGAAGTCTTGTGTTGGAAAGGACCTTAAACAACATCTAGTGCCAACCCCCTGCCATGGGGGGAGATGCCTCCCTCCCCAGATTAGGCTGTTCAGGACCTCATCCAGCCTTCCCTTGGGCATTTCCAGGGATGGGGCACCAACAGCTTCTCTGGGCAGTCTGTGGGAGTACCTCACTGCCCTCACAGTGAAGAATTTCTTCCTTATGTCTGACCTAAATATCTCCTTTTTTAATTTAAAACCATTCTCCCTTGTCCTGTTACTACCTGCCTGTATAAACCGTTACTTTCCCAACATCCTAAAAAGTATTCTTAAAAAATCAAACCTCAAAACCTCCACACTCTGTAAGTCTTTGCTAACACAGCTCCTCTCTTGGGTCTGTCTTCCAGGTGGGCAGGCTTTGATATGTTTTCTATGCCACACTAACTCACGTTCATCTATCAGACTCTTGATGATCTTATTAGATGGCAAATGTGATGTATTTTAACCATGATTTTGCTTGTCTTTTTGCCATCCTGTGCTGCCTTTCTTATCTGAACAAAATGTGATTCCACCTGGCAACATCCTTTACATTTTACCACCAAACATACACGAGCTCACATACCTCTGAAATGCATCAGCTGGGATTTAGAACATGGTAGTTAGAGGCAGAAACGAGGGTTCCTAATCACTCACTCCATGGTGCCCCGAGTGCTGCTGCTCAGGCAATTAATTCACCAAAGCATTGGCAAATACAGCCACTCGGGCATACACCAACACCCAGAGCTGTGGTATCTGTTCAGGCAAGGAGCCTCCTCTGGGCTGCTACCAGAGGATGTGCTTCCACCATCGGGCACGTGGTGATCCTGTAGGGCTGCCCACCTGCTGAACAGCAGCTTAGAAAAGTTTGGGTTCCTCCTGACTCACAAGGGTCTGAGACAAGGAAAGACACAGAGTGAAGATAGATAGATAGATAGATAGATAGATAGATAGATAGATAGATAGATAGATAGATAGATAGATAGGAAATATCTAATGTGCTTAATAAGCATTTTGCCATATTCTAGAGAAAGGAAATGGAGTTTGTTGCATCCCGTGAACCTCCTCAACTTGCAGTGATGCCAAGTGAGAAATGCTAGGGTCAGGACACAAAATGATGCTTCCAAACTCAGGCAGTCCCTGATGCCCAGGGTGATTTTAGTGTCATCGTGTAGGTGATGTGCCAGTGCCATGTCTGGGAAACAGAAATGAGAGTGTGATCCTGTGCTAGCATGTAGGCAAGAGTTTGAGCTGTTTCTGGGTGACAGGCAGCCCCTTCCATGCCTTTGCCTTCAGGAAGTGTGGTCCCTGCCACCCCCATCCTCCTCACTTGTACCCTCAGTCTCCTTCCTAATTGGTGAGTTTGTTATTTGTGCAAATTTTTCCCTTGTGCCTGTGAGTGGCAGGCACTGCTGGTTCACAGGGGAGCAGGGAATCGAAAGCCTCAAGAACCAGATATGGGCACAGCTCCACTGTGTTCACCCCCTTCCATTAATGCCTGCAGCTCTTCAGCAGATCAAGCTAACACCACTTTCCAATTAAAACATGAATATGGATGTGTTGATTGGAATCTGGGGCATAGGAGTTGATTATCTGATTGAAACTCCGAAGCATTAGCTTGGTTTCTAGACATTAAGGGCTGTATTTGGCTTGGTGTGTGGGTGTGGGTGGGTGGGAGAAGCAAGGCAAAGCAGGGAGGGAACTCTTGTTCTAGCTGAATTGCTCATCCTTCCAAAGCTCCTTGTGCTGTGTGCTCCAGCAGACCTCCCAGGTGTCCGGGCATCACTGTCACACTGCTGCTGCTTCACCTCAGAGCAGGTGACAGGGAAGTGTGTCTGCACACACATACATACACACAGAGGGATCCCAAAGAGACCTGCCAGTGAGTGCTGCAAGTCCTGGAGCCCAGTGATGTACTTTCAAAGCTGTGAAGATCTGGGCACTCACAAGAGTCCATTTGCAAACACCCCCTCCCCAGTCCATGACTAACATCTCCCTGCGTGAGTCACGCTCAGACTCCCTCAGTGCAAAGAGGAACAAGCTGCAGTCCAAGAGCCTGTGCTGCACGACATGTTGGGCTGTCTCTGAAGCCCTGTGCCTGTGCAGATGTAGGTGTACACACCTGTGTGCCACGGTGCAGGGGGTTTACAGCCCCTGCTGGGACATGGCCACAGCTCAGCACATGTGCACAAGCATCTCTTGTGCATGATGCCATGTAAGTACTGCATACACAGATCTAGGTTTATCTAAATACTGAAAATATGCTTGTCTTATACTGCTACAGATTTTCTGGCATGGGCTGTTGGCACAGCCTGTCTGGTACAGAGGCTTTGACAGCTCTGTCTGAAAAGCTCAATGTGAGCAGTCTCCAGCCATGCCCCACATCAGTATTTGTATCCTGCACTAGACTGGAAGATAAAACATTTCTGCCATACTTGCTTGCCAGTTACAGGGTTTCCTTCACTTGTAGCTGCAAATGTTGTTTACTTCACTAGTCTGGTTTATATTCTTTACTCTGTGGGCCTTGTTGGCAACTCAAGGTTTTTGCCCAAAGGCCGTGGTGAGAGGCAGGGAGTTGAAGAAAGGCAGCATGCCATGGTGCTGCTGCAGCATTCACCTGTGCTCAGTCCTTGTGGCTAAACGTCTGGCCCAGCCTGATGGGTTACTGGGGATGGGTGTGGGTGAGATGAGCTTGGTTCTGGGGGAACAACTCATGGAGAGCCCTCCAGCTCCAGCTTGGGACCAGAGAGGTCAGGGTGAAGGCAACAGTGCACTTGAGACAAAACTTTGTGTATGGAATGTCAGGGCCACTGGGACAGCACTGGCACAAATACATAATTCTGCTGGGCAAACATCACATCCGAGAATAAGGTGAGTCACAGAAGTGATGCACACCCTCAGTGCTATCCAAAGACTCTGCAGATCAGGGTGAGAAATCACAAGGGCACCAGTTTTCCTCAGTTGTTAACCATTTCATACTTTCTTTAGGATTTTAATGGATACTTTGCCACAACAGGCAAATTCACTGTCACCACGTTGTTGAGGAACATTTTCCAAGGTGCGAGGGGCAGCTTCAGGACTGAGAGGGGATGTGAGAGCCCTTTTCCATCTGTTGCTGCCAGGCTACACGTTGTCCTTGCAGCATGCAGACAGCATCCATTGTCTGCACCTGATGGGCAGTCCTGGCACGGCTCATCCTGGCCCAGACCCATGGGACAACTCCTTCATTTTCTCTCTTTTTTTTTTTTTTCCTAATTTTCATGAAAGAAATAGCTCCAGTAGCAGTAACAGTTTGGAGAGCAGTACCTCCTTTCAGCCTTGCTGGGAGGACCTGTGTGTGTGTGTGTGTGTGTGTGTGTGTGTGTGTGTGTGTGTGTGTGTGTGTGTGTTTAAACTGCTTTGAAAGCCTTGCATGAAAAATACTCCATGGGAAAAGTAATATTTTTTCACTGCACTTATATTCAATTCAATATCCCTCCTATTAATACACAGTTGACTGCACTTTATCTTTGTCCTGTATTGTTGCACAGTGCTATAACTGTTTATCTAGTCAGGAGTAAAAGCACAGAGCAATAATGTCATTTTCAGCCTGCCTCTAATTGCTAGGATTTATTTGGAAATCAAAGGAGATTATACATACAAGCACTTACATTGCCTTTTTGTACATGGGGTGGTTTTTTTCATTTCTTCAGATAATTTTTAAAGTTTTATTCTTGTTGATTAGCCAGAACCAAACCCTGATAGGCTCTGTCCTGTGCTGGAGCTCTGTGCCATTGTTTGTGATATGACAACTTCACAAAATGAAGCAATACACAATTATTTCTTCATTTCCTAATTTTTGCAAAGATCTGGACATGACATTTGCAGTCTGGACCTGCCTTATGTTCTCATCTCCTCTGTGCCTGCCCTTGAGATGCCTCACTCTTTCAATCCCATTTGCACCCTGCCACATTTGCAGTGAGCTCATCAGAGATGCTCTTCTTGGTGTGAACAGCTCGTGCCCCTGCTCTGGCACACCTCACATGGCACGAGGACAGCCGTGAGGACTCAGTCCACGTGGTGAGCTGGACAAATGCTTTGTCCTGCCCAGGACGTGGGGATGAGCCATGCCTTGGGCAGACGTTGCCTTCTCCAGCTGTCTGGGCTCCAGCAAGTACATTTTTATATATACACACTGCATAGCCAGGGGCTGGGGAGAAGGTGCCCTCCAGCCACCCTGTTCTCAGGTGCTGCCAGACGACCACAGAAAGCTGGGACAGCTCCTGGCTTGCTGTCACTGAACTCATCCCATGTGTCTGCTCACAGCCCTGACCTTGGCTGGCTGGCTGGCTTGATTTACAGAGGAATAAAGAGGAAGTGCCGAGAGCAGACCTCAGCTCTTGGCTGATGGAGCCAAATGGGCTTGAGTCACCTCTTCAGATCCACAGCTCAGCTCCCAGAACGCTTGCATGGCTCAGATGCAGGTGTAGTTTTGATTCAGGTCTCTCAAGGGCTTTTGTTGCAGATCAAGGGCTGGGAACCAGCTCATTCTTGAACCTGTTGTTAGATGATAATCAGCATCTCAAGGCAGTACATGGCTCTGTGAGCTAAAATGTTTATTTTATATATATGAATATAACATGAAAAACTGTAAAACACATAAAACCTAGAAAGAAGAAAGATTTATCTGTGAGCAGTAAATCTGCTGTTTCTCTCTTCCTTTGAAAGAATACAAAGACAGAAGCAAATGGCAGCAAGGGCAAGTAAACAGATCCTGATAGGTAACACGATCTGCTGCTGGGTCAATAGGGGTTTTGTAAGTGTGGGTGTGTGTGCGTGTTTTCAATGGGGCTGGAATCCAGCATCATGTATAAGGAAATAATTTGTTGTGGTCATGACTGTCTGTGACTTCATGGCTGTTAACGGGTGTCTCTTCTGTTTGCAGTGTGCATGTACAGAGAGCCATCGCTGCATGAAATTGGAGAAAAACAAGGACGCTCAAGGAAAAGTTCAGGGACACCAACCATGAATGGAGGCAAAGTTGTTAACCAAGACTCGACATAGCTGACAAATACCCTCCCTTCTTCCAACTCCTCCCCTCCCACCCACCTACCCACCCCACCCGGCGAAACCACACTGAGATGATGACAACTGGGCAAGGCAGGACCTACCGGTAGTGGCTTGGAGTGTGAACTCCAGAATCTTTCTTTGTGTAGGACGAGAAAATCGAAACCCAGATCCTGTCTGTTGCAACGTTTTAAAAAACAACAACAAAAAAAATGTGAAGAAAAAATGTTTTAAATCAGGACTCCATTAACATTTTCAAAAGCAAACTGTTTGCTCTGTGATCAAAGGGGGAAAAATCTCATCTCTGCATAATAATAATAACTAATAAATATAATAATAATAATAATAATAATAAAGATGTTACCTTTAAAAATAAAACAGAGCTTTTGGAAAATTGAACTTAGCATATGATGTGCAACAAACACATGAGAATTGCATCCTGTGACTGTGCTTTCTGTCTTATCCTTTCACCTCACATTCACACTGCTGTTTTTAACGTCCTTGCTTCCCTGGGGATGGATGGGATTTTTCACAAAACAGGAAAGGTGGGGGTACATTATGGCTGTGTTGGCTCTGCTATCAGTAAAATATGGCCTGCCCGAATTAGGAGCCTGGCAGTTATGGGCAATGAAGTAGCTACTCTTTATTCAGCCTTTTCCATCTGCATTCAAACCCTGAATAGTTATTTGTTGCTAATGTCACTCCATGAGTATGTTCAACTCGAGTCTGGCGTTTTATGCCTTTTTATCATAATTATTTATATTTATTGGCTTGCATTACTGTATTAGTTTCCAGAGGAATTTCAGAAATGGGTTTTCACGTCTCACAGGATGAAACAATCATATTTATTAGGGCAGAGTTGGAGATAAAGGTCAGGAGGGATAGCTGCTTGCTGTGAAATATGAAACAGATCAAGAAATGCTGCTGAAATCCTTGCTATCAGATGGAAATGGTAAGGCATGTGCTGTATGAGAGGGTACCAGGATTTCAGCAATGGAAAGGGGATGTGGTGTAGCTAGGAGGGAGCAGGTGTAGGGGAACATGTAGGGCTGTGCCTGTCCATTTGTGCCAGGGTGAGGACATTTCCTTCTAGCAGCTGGGGTCTCCCTAAACGCTCTGGCTCCACACATACCACACATGTTCAAAGCAGAGGCTGCAAACCCCTCCAATCCCCAGCCTTCCTTACCACTGTGATGGTCTGAGCCCCCTGAGATGCAGCAGCAGCCTGGACTTGGGTGTGGGCACAAGTCTTGCTGGTGCCAGGGCTGCAGATGCTGGAGCAGCACTTCAGAGGTAATGAGTTCCCAAGTGGGAAAAGGCCAGGAGGAGGGCAGTGGGGTGAGGGATGCCCAGTGCTGAGCCCACCTGCAGCAACCAGGGCTTTAGTGGGGACTGGCAAGGCTCTCCCTGTCTGGTGATTTCTCTCCTTGTCCGGGGTCAGCAGTGAGCCCTCGCTGCTGGGTGGGGCTGAAGCAGGGCAGCGTGGGCTGGTTTCCCATTACACACATTAACTCCAGTCTCTGGCCACTTTGGGCAGCCAGGGCCTGCAGGCACCAGCAGCAGCAGCAGTGCTGGAGTTGGTGTGACAAAAACAGGCACTGCCCTGAATCAGGAGCCTGGGAGCCTTTGCTGCTCAGCCATGGGCACAGGTCCTGCGAGGGGTGAAAACTAAAAGAAAAAGCAATCACCCAAGGGCCTGGAGAGGGAACAGAACAATTCTTTATACACGGGGAACCAGCCTAAATCCTTGCAGTTACAGGCTGTGTGGGCGTTTGCATTGCTCGTAATGGGCACCTGTGAAATTCCAAATACCACCTTAATTGTGGGACACCTGTGCCATCCCAGCCAATGCCTCAGCTAACTGGCAGCCACACAGGCAGAGCTGCTGCTGGCAGTGCCAGGGAGATGAGAGTGCCAGGGCTGTGCCAGGGCTGGCCACAGTGCTCCTGCAAAGCCACTTCTGCCCTGGTGCCTCCCTCCCCACACATGAGGTGACGTTGGGGCGCGTCAGGGCTTGATGAGCGGCTCCGTACAGAAAGCAAAGAGACAGCCAAAACTCAAGGTTATGGAAGAGTCCCAGGATGAGCACGAAATAATGAATTTCAAGCATGTCCTTTTGTGTTTTGGAGAAGCTGAAACCTTGAAATGAAGAGCCTCTTGCCACGGCTCTGCTGCCCAATGCTGCACCTACAGCAGGGAACCCCCCTGTGCTACACATGTCAGGGACTTAGTGCTGCCCTCTGGCCTCACAACACAGGAGCAAGGTCACTAACGTGTTCAGCTTGGGAGTACACACCCAACCCCATCTGATGTAGTTCACTGCCTACATTTCATCTCTCTCACAAACTAGACAGCACCCCAAATTAAAGGATCACTGTACATTCAAAGAAATAGAGTCTCAAGGCCAATATGTTGAGTTAGCAGGTTCCTGAATGGTGCAAGTCACCAGACATGGTTTAGGCACTGAGCCACAAGTTTTCCAGCTGCGCTACTGGAGGGAAAGCCCAGCATCAGCAGAGAATAGAACACCCCCAACACACCATGATACCACCAGCCTCTTCTGGACCTAGCCACAGCAGCTAGCCAAAGGCATTGATGTCATCTAGAGCAGCTCCAGCATGGACTAAAAATTGCTCTGGCCAATGTGCAGGATACCCTTTGCCTAAGTCCCAAAAAGCTGTGGGCAACAGCAGACCCAGTCCTACCATGTGCTGATTTTTCCATTGCGAGACTCGCCACATCCCCCACTGGGCTTTTGCCTTGTTAATAATTTTGCCTATTAACAAGGCAAAATGATTCTTCGCCAAATCATTACAAGAATCCCTGGAAATGCCATATTCAGGCCTAAATGTCAAAATAATCTGCTCTTTTATTCCATGGTGTTTGAGCTGATCACTTCCATGTGACACTCACTGAGTTTGCCCACAGCGAGAGCCAATTGCTCCTGCTCTCAGCCAGTGTCTGCACCACCTTGGAGCAGGTCTTCTGGCATGTGTTCAAATTAAGTGCTGGCTCTCCTTGTTCCCTTCTCACCCATGAGCCACACACTACGGCACAAACTGTGATAAAAGCCCTGAGGAAATACTGGGGTTTTTTCCTGACCTCTAGGAAGCTGCCAAAGTCTGCTCATGGTGTCGTGCAGGGACTCCTGACATCACGAGAGCCCAAACACCAGTGAGGCTGCACAGTGTCCACTGGCACCAGCTGCTGACTGGGAGCTGCTTGGCTCCAAGTAAACCAACACCCTCCAGATGCCTGGGAAAATCCAGGAGATCCACAGCTTGTAGATACCATCTAGAGCTTCGTGCATTTCTTTTACTCAAGTGCCCAGCAAGCTCTGTCCCCAGGCCTTATCTCAAGGAGGTAATGTGGGTTTTGTTGATTATCCATCTGCTGCTTCCCAATTCACAGATAATTTTTTTGCTTACTTTGAAGTTCCTACAGTCTCTTCATTGCTTCTCTCTCTTCTTGCTTGGTGTTAAAGTCTTGATAAGTGATGTTTCTATTTTTTTTTTCTTTTTTTAGCCACACATACAGCAACCATTTAGGAAGTTTTGTGACTCAGTTTAACATTATAGTGACCACAACCCTTGCCTGGCTGCATGGGATACTAGCAGGACAAATTTCCTTGCCATGCTGGCATGGCTTTGGGCAAACACCTAGCACAGAAAAGTAAATTATAAAAAAGAAGGATGTTCTTGTCTAACCTGGTGCATAGCTACTGTTAACTCTGGTAAGGCTGCAGCAAACCTTTGCTCTCTGAGTAAGAGATGCTCCTATAAAAGATTTTGAGCATTAGAAGTCCAGCAGCAGAAAATACGTCACAGATATATGAGTACAATTAAAGCATTCATTTTGTTTCACCTCGTTTTTAATTATGATGTTGCCATGGGTCTGGCTGTATGTGCTGTGCAAAACAGCCCCACTCACCTAAAAATCAAGGACAAAACCTGATAAAATGGATACAGTTTGGACCATAACGATTTTCCTCGGAAGAAAATGCAGAAAAAGCTACAGACAAGCATGCCAGCAAGTTCTGCCACAAGTGTCAGCACTGGCATGTGACAGTGTGCTATAAAGTGAAGCTGACACTCAACAAAGCCATTTATGAAAATTGTCTGTCAACAACATTTTTGTGTTTGCGCTCAGAGAGCTTCTGGCTGATAAAGGCCCACGCAATCCCCCAAGCTGTCACGGGCTCCACTTTACACCTTTATATCTTAAACTGCACTGATTGTGCACCAGGAGAGCTCCTGCCCCAGAAAGGCACCACTGCCACACCCTGAATAACGCTGAGGAGATGGTGTAAGCACCCATGGCTGAGCAGGACCAGCAGGAAACAAAGTGTGCCATCCTTCCTGGTTCCACGCCAGCAGGGCTGCAGCCTGGATGCATGACAGGCATGAAAAAACATCTTGAGGATGACACTTCCTAAAGCAAGGAAGGCATAGAATTCTTATTAGTTAAAGCACACAAATCCAACCTTTACTAGTGGGTGTGCAGTAAAATACATTACTTTTAACATGGGGGAGATATTGGCCCCAGAACATGTCAAGCACTAAAAATCTGTTAACTGGGGCACAGTGTAGCCCTGGTCCTAGATGGCAAGGATCAGTTTGTATGTCACTGCATCGAGGAAATCAAAAACAAGAAAAGACACAAGTGAGTGTCTTCAAGGAGAGATTTCTCTCCCAAAACTGAAACAAAATGCTTAGTTGCTGCTGTGGGATGACCCGCTGCACACACCTAGGAGTAAAACCAAAAGAAACAGCACTGCACTTCCTTAGTGAAGCAGAGATGTTTCCATGGCATTCCTGTTTTCCCTCTCCCACCACCAATGCTTCAGCCTTCAAGTCGATGGAAGGCTGTTTCCATGGAGCAGAAGGCATCAAGGCTTACATCCTCCTCACCTGCATGGAGTTAAGCTTGACTGCTCTGCTTCAGCTGCTGAGCTACAGCCATGGGCATCCTTCAGTTTCCCCATGTTCTTCTTACACACCTTTATTAAGGGAAAAAAAAAAAAATCCCCCAAAATATTCCATAGCCAGGCTGATACATTTTTAGCATCATGTTTAAGAGCATGAAGATCTCAAAACCGCTGATACATTTGTGACCACAAAGTTAAAGCTTAATAACTCCCATTCCAGGAGAGAGGATTTCTATTCATGATAGTTGCATAATGAAGTGCTGCATGCACAGAAAGTTGGACATCTTCCCAGCCTGCCTCCCTCTTGGACTTCAGGCTCTCCTGTGGTAGAGGAGGTCTAGGCCAGCATGGCTCCATCTCACCACAGCATTCACCAGGAATTGTGGTGATGACACAGGGAGCTCACACAGACTCCAGAGCATTCCCAGCTGACACAACTGCAGTTTCAGTGCAGAAAAATTTGACCTTCCATGGTCAAATGTCCTTTCTGGAAAGTAAAGGA